CATGGGCGATGGCTGGCTGCCCCCGGACTGCCAGCCGCACAACAGGTCCGGCTCGCCGCCGCCCGCGTCCCCCGGCAGCGCCGCCACGCCGGCGCCCGGCAACCGGCACGAGGTGCTGTCGCAGCAGTGGACGGCGGGCATGGGCCTGCTGATGGTGCTGGTGGTGCTGCTCATCGTGGCGGGCAACGTGCTGGTGATCGCGGCCATCCGGCGCACGCAGCGCCTGCAGACGCTGACCAACCTGTTCATCACCTCGCTGGCCTGCGCCGACCTGGTGATGGGCTTGCTGGTGGTGCCCTTCGGGGCCACGCAGGTGGTGCAGGGCCGCTGGGTCTGGGGCTCCTTTCTGTGCGAGTGCTGGACCTCGCTGGACGTGCTGTGCGTGACGGCCAGCATCGAGACCCTGTGCGTCATCGCCATCGACCGCTACCTGGCCATCACCTGGCCTTTCCGCTACCAGAGCCTCATGACCAAGGGTCGGGCCAAGGGCATCATCTGCACCGTGTGGGGCATCTCCGCTCTGGTCTCCTTCCTGCCCATCATGATGCACTGGTGGCGGGATGAGGATCCCCAGGCTCTGGATTGCTACCAGGACCCCGGCTGCTGCGACTTCGTCACCAACAGGGCCTACGCCATCGCCTCCTCCATCATCTCCTTCTACATCCCTCTGCTCATCATGATCTTTGTCTACATCAGGGTGTACAGAGAGGCCAAGGAGCAGATCAAGAAGATTGACCGATGCGAGGGCAGGTTCCACAACAACCACCACCACCAGCCTCCTGCCCAAGGCCACTCTCACCACCAGCCCATGCTGGGCAACGGCAGGGCCAGCAAGAGGAAGAGCTCCCGGATCATGGCCATGAGGGAGCAGAAAGCCCTCAAGACCTTGGGTATCATCATGGGAATCTTCACTCTCTGCTGGCTTCCTTTCTTTCTGGTCAACGTGGTCAACGTCTTCAACAGGGACCTGGTGCCAGACCAGCTCTTTGTCTTCTTCAACTGGCTGGGATATGCCAACTCCGCTTTCAACCCCATCATCTACTGCCGCAGCCCTGACTTCCGCAAGGCTTTCAAGAGGCTGCTTTGCTGCCCCCGGAAAGCTGACAGGAGGCTGCATGCCAGCGGTGAGGAGCTCTCCCGGTTCCCAGGGAGTTTCATCAATACTTTGGGCACCCCCGAGCGCAGCCTAGGAGGGATGTGGTCCGACTGCAATGGGGGTACGCAGGGAGGCAGCGACTCCAGCCTGGAGGAAAGGAATAGCAAAACCTCCTATTCCGAATCCAAGGTATAAGGACGGGGCAGGGGTGGCACTGGGGGACACCCTGGACACTGAGCACGAAGAAAGCCAGCCAGGGAATAAGTGAGAGGAAAAAATATCAGGAGTCTGGTTAAGCAAACAAACACCAAACAAAACCAATCTCTGTCTCACTGGGGAGAATATCTGTGTTTACTGAAGACTAAAAGCAGGTGAACTTGTGTGCAACATACCTCATCTGACGTTAAAGGAAGCCACTGACGGCTGAACAAAGGAAATTAAAAGCTGTCTCAAGCTCTTTTTTTTTTTTTTATTTTCTAACAGGGAGTTAGGTGGCAACAGGCATTTTGAAAGGGAATAAGAAAAAAATCCTTTACTCAGTTGACCTGCTCTAAGAGCTGCGCTTGCGGTAGAGCCCGATCCTGAAGTATTGGGAGTTTAACCACTGACTTCACTGTAGCCGGGATCGTGCTGTATTTAACCTCGCTTTCAAGCTGAGGACTGTAAGCTCTCCCTGCCCCTACTCTTGGTGGCTGCAGTCCTTGTTTCACACACAGACAAAAAAACCAGTCTGATTTGAACAAGTGCTGCTTGCACACAGCCCTGTTGAAGTTAGTGGGAGCTGCAGGTGATCAGCACTTTTTGCAAATCGGGCTTAACAGTCCTTTATAAAAGTGTGTCTGTCATCTGACAAGTTTGATTTTAAACTTCAAGTAGCTGCATTCCCCTGTTGTTTAAAGTAAAGATGAAGGGAAAAAATTAACTAATGAAGAATATTGATATACTTGTATTTTGAACAGAGCTTTTCTGATTATTATCTTCTGCATCAGCAACCGGTTGACTTCTTATGCTTATCTTTTCTTGCCAGACCATACCAATCAGGCTGAGAAACTTTCTACCTCAAACTGTGCATATTGTACAGGGGAATAAAAAGACATGTTTATATTAAACAGCTTATTTATGTATCGATATTATTATTTTCTAAAAAGAGGCAGTGAGCCTTCTGCAACTTGTTCATTGTAATTGAAGATGAACAGTACAAAAATAAATGAATCCTGGCAACAACAAAAAATTTACTGCACATAAAAAAAAATGGCGACAGAGCCATTTTTGCACAGTGTTAAGAATCGTAAAATTAATTGAAGATGTTCCTTGCACAAAAAAAATTAAAAATAAAATGGGGGTTCAAATATCATCAAACCTGAAAAAAAAGTTCTTTCTGCTCTTGTCTAATATGTTACATTTCTATTGAGAGAGTGACTTTTTATATTATTTTATCAAGGTACTGTAAATGCATCCATATTATAAATTAAAATATCTTAAGGGTCTTTTATTATTATTTTAATATTTTATGTCCAAGTGCCCACGTGAATCTGCTGTTATTTTAGCACTTGCGTGTCATTTCCATTTTCCTCCCGTGTGTGTTTTTATAAGGTATTTATACTCTGGTGCAATTTACTACTGTGTAAGTAATTGGTCTATGTGCAATAAATAACATTGCAGCACAAACAAGCATATATGTACAGTGTGTCTCTATAGGTTCTGAAACAGTACCCAGCTATAATGGAAAGAACAGAGTTTTGTTTTTCTCAAAATATGGATCAAATTACCAATACTCTCCTACCTAATGGCTTTTCCTGACAAAATATGGTTTAAAAAAAGTGTTCTAGACCAAATAAGGTTGTGTTTTCTGTTGCGTTAAGGGCTGCCGACTTCCCTCAAAAATTAATGGCCAAAGACAAGGTGTTTCCAGCCTGATAATAAACACAGTTGTTTTCTTCAGCCTGTTGGCTTTACTGATCTTGTTGAATTATTAGACCAGGAGTCAGGGGATTTATTATTGAAAAGTAGAATAAAATGGTTTTGTATTTGATTTGAAAACTGTTGCTAATAGATTATGCAGTGGATCTCATGGTGAAATCAATGATACTCTTAAAATAACTTCACTGGATGCAGACAGAGCTTGAAGTCCCTATTCAGTGAAGCCAGCTCTTTCCCACTGAAATCATTGGAAATCTATGTGGATTTCAGTACAAGGGAGATTATGCCTTGTAGCGGGAGATGTAATAAGAAGTTTGTGATCCCTTGAAAAAATATGCCAGGCTTTCCTACTACATTACTGAAAAAAGTGTCTTCAGAAAAAAGCACTACATGTTTGATCCCTTCATTTCTTGATTTCAATTAAAGCTAAAGGCAGTTGTCTTTAACTTTAACGGGTGCAAGATCAGGCCCTGTAAAGCGTTTTTGACACTGCATATCAGTTCTACACAAAACCCCAGTAACATATCTATAGATTAGAGAACTAATTATATAGCGAGAAAAGCCATATGACACTCGGTAGCAATATTTTCCCTAGCTGCATGTTCCTTTAGGGCTGGATTCTCTTACCCTCACACACACTGTGCAGTGCCCTGCTGACACAGGTACCCCTGTGGACTCCAAACGAACCACGATGAAAGAAGTGCCGGGGGGGCATGGGTGACAGACTCTAATCCTTAATGCAAATCCTGAATGTAAAACTCCGTGACAATACTGTCTCCCATTATTGTCGTGAAGGTATGTTTTATTATGATAGATTCAGAGAATTTTTCATGACTGCAACTTGTCATGGCATATAAAACCGAAAAGCCAGACGGCTGGGTATCGTAAAACACCTCCTTGATGTCATGCACAGAATAAAAGTGAAGCTATTTTTAGCTTTATTATACTCAAAAATATGGTTGAGTTAGGAATCATGTCCCAGTGAGAAGAGTTCTGAAAGTCAGTTCTGCAAGAAATAGGCCAAGCTCTCTCTTAAATAAACAGTTTACTCCATTTTTAAAAGCTAAAGATTTTTTAATGCTGTTTTTAATGTTACATTTTAGGGATAAAAACATAGAGACATTTTTTACACAGAACCAGATTGAAAGGTCCTTTGAAGTCACTGGTTGTTTTGCCATTGGTTGCACTGGGGTTAGGGTTTGAACTACAGTTAATTATTTCTGATCCAATAGAAGTGAAATAGGCTTCCTAAATGCCAAGGTGAAGCCAGGGCAGTTGCCAAATGAAACATGTTCCATCAGTCTTCTAACGACATGCACTTTTAAAAGCCAGGATCGAATTCTGCCTTCAGTTACACCCTGCAATTCCAGCAAAGTCAGCTGAATTGCAAGAGTGTGACCAAGGGCAAAATCTGAGTCCAGCTGTCTGATAGCCGGGTTGATTTTATGTGCATCATGTACAACAGTGTGTTTAGTGTTCATATGATGGATAAAAGTAGAGTCAGTATTTGCTTCTCTTTCCTTGTAGAAAGTCGCAGGCAAATGGAATTAAGCCTTGATTCAAGCAAAGCAGGTTAGCACGTGCTAAACATTAAGCATGTGAATGGTCCCACTGAAATCAGTGGGTCTACTCACACACCCGAACTTAAGCATGTGAAATGCTTTGTTGAAGTGGAGTCTTCAGTGACACATTTAGGACCAAAACTTGTTCATATTACTCTTATTAGTAACAGCATGGGACCATGTTCATCTGTTGAGCAATTAAAGGCAGTAGAACTCCACAAAAAACTGCATTGCTGATTGATTACAGGGGGATCAGCTGCAAGAATAAATCAGTTATTGTTGCATTTTAGCCAACCAGAAATGGCCCAGTGGAAAGACTATATATAGATATATTTACTGGGTTTTTAAAAATAGGATGGTCTTGATCTTGATGGATGTTTACATATTTAAATCTTCAGTAATCAATAAAGATATTCCATCCAGCAGTATGAATGGCCAGTACCAGTTTAACTTAGTACTGTATAAAAAAAAGTGGTGGCATGATAACCTTACAGATAAAAAAGACATATGGCATACATGTGTGGAAAGAAGGAGAGACTATTGGCTAGCAGTGCCTTATGGATCTCTTTCTTAGTACAGACTGTTCTTAGTATTGAAGAAATATACTCTAAGAAGAGTTACAGGACAGCTGAAATACTCTGCAGGCATTGAGTCAAAACATCCATGATGAATATATTTTTGAAGAAAACCAGACAGGGATTAACAATTGGAGCTGCAGTACAAATAGTAGACGTGCAACTATACACGCATGCACACACACTTTCACAGAAAGGTAAAGTAACAGAGAAGAACGCAGATCTGAAGGGGAAGGAAATACAAGCAGAACAGAAATTCTACTATCGGGATACATGCTTTATCTATTAGAGCCAATGTGACTAGCTGCGGTGTTTAACCTTTAAGCACTTAACTGGCTTGGTTTTCAGCCACTATAACCTCTATTGACTTAAATGGAATTTCAACACTTGTTGGATCACTTCTCCTTAAAGCCTAAATATAAATCTCACAGTATAAAACTAGATAAGGTAGTTTGAACATATGGATCTAAATGTACCTGCTTTATCCAGGTAGAAAGCCTAGGGTAATCAGGTCCTGTAATTTGTGTCCATCTGGAGAAAACGTAAGAGAGAGGTGCCTTTTTGAAGGTATTTGGGCACCTAAAGATGCAGATATGTGCCTGCTGATATTTTCAGAGTGACCAGGCATCCATGGGAGTTAGGTGCATTTTTGAAAATACCACTCTATATCTTCGTTTTTAGGCAAATAAATCCCTTTAAAATGCCCAGATTGTGATTCATGAATTGTATTTAGATCTGATAACAAAAAACATTTGTTGGCAGTGATTGCAATTAAATTTTACGTAGGAAACTCAGCCTAAAATGCTGACAAACAGATCTTGATGCAGTACAAGAATTTGAGAAAACTAGTAGTATGTTTTTTGATAGAGTGCACTATTTCTTTACAAACGGTTTCTTGGCTGGCATGAAAGTGTTTTCAAATATAAGGACAACTTCCTTATCTTGGGTCTTTTTTCAGGCCTTATCTGAAATTGAAATTTTATTAATAACTTTTTAAGTGTCTATTTTGCAAACCTTCCTTGTCATGCACACTTTCCTAATTTATTGTAATTTCCTATCTGGTCCGGTGTACTTACTTCCTGTCTGTAATACATCAAGTTGCGGGAATGGAAACTGTGCAACCATGAACTAACAGTACAGACATACTTTAAGCCAAATTCTGTCTTCAGTTGCACTCTTGCAATGCCACTGAAACCAGAATTTGGCCCTTATAATCTAATCTTTTATGAGAGTTACTAAGCAGTGGCTCCAGAAAAATCCATTGTCACCAGTAGTGACCTTTGCTAATGAAGCTGGAGCAATTAGTCCTTTTAAAAGCTGTCAAGGAAAATGCTAACTGCTAAACAACAGTTAATGTTGTATAACTAAAATAATGAATGTTTTGTTTGTTGGTCTGTGTTAGGTGATATATTGGGAAATAATTATCCTTTGACTAGCGGCCAGCTTTGTACTAATCAGAAAGGAGGAGACATGTTCTGTTTGAAGGATTATACCTAAAAATAGTTTCTGCAGTCACATCAGCAACTGGAATGAAGTAAATTCCTGTGGACAGATACACGCTCCGCTTTATTTCAGTTCCACTCCTAAAAAGTCGTAGTTCAGGTTAAACCAGGGGTGGGCAAAATGCGGCCCACGGGCTGGATACAGCCTGCCAGGCCATTCTGTCCGGCCTGTGGGGCCCCTAAAAAATGTAGAAAATTAATATCTATCTGCCCCTGGCTCCTGTCAAAGATGACAAGAGACAGGGGCAGTAGGACCCAGGGGAAGCCCTGGCAGGTTCCTGCCACAGCAAGGCCCACCTGGCCCCACCCCCCCAGCCAGAAGCCCCTGCCTAGCAGAGGCTTCTGGTCTGGGACTGTGGCACTGTTCGCACCTCCCCACACCAGAGCAGGAAATTTAGGTAAGGCAGGTGAAGAGCCAGGGGAGGACCGTGGAGATCGCCCCAGCCCTTGGTGCCAGGCCAGCTCCTGCTGAGCCCCATGGTCCGGCCATGCAGCTGGGAGCCACATGGTGCTGGAGTGGGTGACAGGCAGGCAGGAAAGTGGGGAAAGGCAACATGGGGGCAGGAGTAGAAGCAAGCAGGCCCACAGGGCTTGCATGGTATCCTGGGGCCAGAACCTGCAGGGCCCAGAATGGGGCAGCAGGAGCGCAGGGCATGGGCTGGCAGGGGTCTGTGGAGCCGAGCTGGGCTGTGCCAGCAGGGAGAGGGGGGAGCTGGCCGGGTTCCATAGAGCCCCTGCCTGCTGGGACCCCGTGCTCCTGCCGCCCTGCTCTGGGCCCCGCCGGCGCTGACCCTGGGACACCAGCACGGACCCCGCACTCCTGCCTGGCTGTCACTGGCTCCTGTGCACCCGCTTGCTCCATCCCCCCGCACCAGCCCCATGGTACAGGTGGGGTGAGTGCACACAGCCCTGATCCCATGCTCACCCATCTGGGCTGAGTGGTGGGGGCATGGAACAAACATGCTCAGCTCAGGAGAAAAGTGTCCTCTCCATCTCCCTGTGGCCATAGCGTCCTGGTGCAGCCACCTGGACCTGTCCTGTGTCTCCACCACATTACTGCTGCCAGCAGAGAGCAGGCACAGGCAGCCTCAGGTGGGCTGCGAGCAGCTGCACCATGGAGGACCAGCAGCAGGGGGAGGAGGCGTCACTTTTCTCCCGCACTGAGCACCAGTTTGTCCCACGCTGCAGCTGCTCAGCTTGGGCCTCACGCCAGGGGGAAGTGGCAGCAAGTGGGAGCATGGGGCTGCACCGGTGACCCGGGGCCAGGAGCGCAGTGTCTGGGCCGGGAGGAGCTCTGGTGGGGCTGTGGGCAAACCCTCCCACTTCACCCAAACCACAGCCTTCCCC